CGTAAGTGCGTGAGACCAAGGTGACCGGCAGTCGGAAGGTCATGAAGTTCATTTAGAACTTCCGAGCGAAGGTGTTTCGGAATGACAAGCAGCAGGGCCGGTCCATCCGGCTTGAAATTTCAGCGGTATAATACACCATCGTGGAGCATGAATGAGTGATGGGACTGATTGGAGGATGGTGATTCGAGCCGCTCAATGATAACACGCAAGGATGCGTCACGGCGCTGCTCGTCACCGATGCATGTCATTTGCGAAAGAGAAAAGACGCAAGGGCCGGTGTCATTGTCAAGTATAGTGCACGACTCAGCAACCGGGTAGCGGGACAGACAGTCTGTGTCCCGATGTAGGCGTCCGGACTTGTACATCACCGTGTAGGTATACTCTTGCAGTCGCAGAGCCCAGTGCCCGAGCTGGCCAGTAGGATCCTTCAGTGACGTAAGCCAACATAGCGCATGATGGTCAGTTATTACAGAGAAATTTGTGCCCTATATAAATATGGGTGGAACTTTGAGACTGCCCAAACAAGAGCGAGACACTCACGCTCTGTAATGGAATAGTTGCGCTCAGCAGCTGTGAGGAGGCGGCTAGCGTAGGCGACAACTCGGTCGTGTCCCCGTTGGCGTTAGGCTAAAACGGCTCCAATCCCGTGACCAATAGCATCAGTTCGGACTTCTGTTGGAGCAAATGGGTCAAAGTGAGCCAATATAGGCGGAGTCGTCAGAAGCGTGATTAGATGAGAAAAAGCAGCAGCTTGATCGGTACCCCAGGTAAACGTTGACGTCTTTCGTCAGAAGCACAGTGAGAGGTCGAGCGATGGTTGCGGAACTTTTCACAAACCTTATAAAGTAGGAGCAAAGTCCTACAAATCTCCGGACGTCTTTAACTGATCGGGGTACAGGAAAACTGGTGACTGCACGAATTTTCTCTGGGTCCGGCTGCACACCAGATGCGTCGACAAGGTGACCCAACACTGTAATTTGCCGGCGTCCGAAGTGGCACTTCGATGAATTTAATTGAAGGTTTGCAGTGTGGAATATGTCGAAAATAGCTCACAAACGCTGAAGGTGGGTCTCAAATGTTGGGGAATATACAACAACATCGTCAAGATAACAGAGACATGTTGACCATTTGAACCCTTGTAGCAGATAGTTTATCATGGGCTCGAACGTAGCTGGGGCGTTGCATAGCCCAAACGGCATAACCTTGAACTGATATAGGCCGTCTGGAGTTACAATTGCAGTCTTCTCTTGGTCTGTTTCGTCGACAGCAATCTGCCAGTAGCCGGAACGTAGGTCTACTGAAGAAAAGTATCGGGCGCCGTGGAGACAATCGAGAGCGTCATCGATGCGGGGTTAAGGGTAAACGTCCTTTTTCGTGATTCTATTCAGATGGCGGTAATCCACGCAGAAGCGCCACGTGCCATCTTTCTTTTTAACGAGCACAACGGGGGACGCTCAAGGGCTCGAAGAGGGTTCAACGATTCCCTTGGCTAACATCTTGGTAACTTCTTGTTGAATTACTTTACGCTCGGTGGCAGACACCCGGTATGATCGCCGATAAATGGGATGAGAATCGCCTGTGTTGATGCGGTGCTTGACGAGTGAAGTCTGGCCGAGTGGACGGCTGCCTATGTCGAATATGTCGCGGTATGAAGCCAGAAAGTGGCAGAGTGCGGCTGACTTCTCAGGTTTGAGGTCCAGGGCGATCATGGAGCGTAAGGTTGCATCCAGGCACGTGGCATCCTGCGAGTGACGTGGGTGATCGGGACATACGTTTGCCGCAAAACAGGTGATGTAGTCATCAATTAAGGGTGTTAGCGTGGCGACGGATATTCCTTGAGGTAGCACTTGTTTTATAAAACTGTTATGTCCGGTGTTGTTGTCGGCCCATAGACGTACGCGTGGGTCGCGGTAGTCCAAAAAGCTCAGACAGCCTCGAACGGTTGAAAACAAGTTTATTCCTATTTGGATGGAGGCGGCGGCCGAACTGCCGGGGGAAACGACGGTGGCTCGTTTGCGCCGAGCGGGGAAAGGGGAGGAGTCAACATCTGGTCTGGAAGCAGTTTCAGGAACCGGTCCTTCGCGGGTTCCGAGGTTCGCTCGTGACACAGGGGTGCTTGGAACACAACAAAAACCGAAATAGATAACAGGTAAATATGTTCGGTTTGAGGCCATGGTTATGACGGAGTGTGGGACAGTAATGTCACGTGCCAGGAGAACATCAGGAATAGGCGTCACGATATAATCACCGTTGGGCACGGGAGAGGGTGTTGCCAATTCAACGTATGTGAGAGCTTTAGGTGGTATCCGGAAAAAGTCAGTGGTGCACAGGCTGTTCGGGAGTTCAGGGTGAGAATTCAGGAGAAGAGGCAGTTCTAAAGAGAGAGTGCCGGCGGAACAGTCAATCAGGGCAGAATGTGTCGATAAGAAGTCCATCCCGAAGATGACGTCATGAGGGCAACTATCGAGCACGGTAAATAAAACAGGAACGTGGCGGCCGGCAAGGCTAATACGAGCGGCACACATTCCAGTGACGGCTACAGTTTCATCATCGGCGATACGGACAGCTTGTGTTACGGCAGGCGTGAGTACTTTTTTGAGGCGGCGACACAGACGAGCACTCATTATAGACACCTGAGTTCCAGTGTCAACTAAAGCCGTCAAAGAAAGACCGTCCACATGCACTTCTAGCAAGTTCTTATTAGTAGGTAGCGTCAGGATTTGGGTCAGTCGCACTGGATGCAGCACTACCTCCAGGAGCCGCATAATCTAGTTTTCCATCCGGGAAGATCCATAGTTAGTCGGCGATGGATAGCGGCAGGGTTGGGGCGACGGAGAACGGCGGCGTTGCGATGATGGTAAACGCGCGGTAGAGTGACTGTTAGGTGCGTCGGGAGCAGGATACTCACGGCTGGGCGAATACCGACGGGGGTCCGCGTATGGCTGAGGAGAAGAAGAAAATTGGCTCGAACGGGGGGGCGTCCAAGTGCTGCGGCAGTAGCGGGAGACATGGCCAACTCGGTGACAACGGAAGCAGATTGGCTTGGCTTGTCCTCTGCTGTTCTTCACTCCGTCGGATTGCGGGATCTGGGCAGAGTGTATGGGTCGTGGCGTGGTGTATTTATTGGCATCGGTCTGTAGTCCGTTCGGGAGACTGAGCAGGCGACAGGAAAACCAAGGTTAGCGATTTCTTGCCGCACGACTGCCTGAATAACTGACACCGCTGGAGGTGTTTGCATGGTGGCCTGGTCGAGTGGAAGTGCGTGAAACGGCGCCGGATGGGCTGCCTCAAGCTCGTGCCGAACGATGCGTGTGACATTCTCATGCAAAGGTGGTGCGGCACTGAGATCGGTATAGCTTGACGTGACAGCCGTGTTAGGGAGCCGTGAAAACTGAGGCCGAACTCGGCGGTTTTTGGCCATTTCCAAGCGGCGGCATTCCTTAATTATGATATCGACGGTCGTGACGTTGTACACGAGCAAGTTGAAAGCGTCGTCCGCGATGCCCTTTAGTATGTGGCCCACCTTGTCGCTCTCGGTCATTTGCTCGTCCACTTTGCAGCACAACGCGAGGACGTCCTGTATGTACGAGACATACGGCTCGGTTGATGACTGTACTCAGGTGGCGAGTTCTTGTCGTGCGGCCGTTTGTCGACTGGACGGGTCCCCAAAGATGTCACGTAGTCGGTCCTTGAAGATGTCCCAGCTGGTGAGCTCGGCCTCATGAGCGTTGAACCATACACGCGGGGTGCCATCCAAGTAAAAGTTTACGTTGGCGAGCATCCTGGTTTGGTCCCATCGGTGAGACAGGCTAACGCGCTCGTACATGCGGAGCCAGTAGTTGACGTCAAGGCCAGGCTGGGCGGAGAATGTACTGGGATCACGGGGGTGGAACATCGCAAGGTACGTAGTAGCTGGCGCTCCAGGTGATGGCATTGAGGGGGGGTTATCATTAGAAGCCATGGCCGGTAGCTGGACGGTGCAACCACTGCGAAGCTTCGTGGTGAGGACGAGGAACGTTCCACCTCCACCAAATATGTTACGGAAGAGAGACACCGTATCGACGAGGCTGTGGATGAAATATATTTCAAACCAGCAGCAGCAGCGGCGTGACCAGTAGACCAGACACCGAGCGGAGACCACCCTTCGTCTTCCTCGTCAGGCACACACGCGCATCGCCCTCTAGATTCTCAATTTGCATGCGTGTAGCAATATTTTATAATTTATCATTTGCATTCTGCCGAAAGTCAAATCCTATTACTATTTAATGTTATTGTGCAGGATTAGTTAGGTCATGACAAATATGCCCTTTATTTTATATATAATATGTGATATGCACTATTCGTATTTGCTTTGAAATTATTCAAACCAAATCACTATTAGCTTTGAATTCGCTTCAAATCTAAAATAGCTGTTTGCGCAAGCCTAATATGTACATATCTTAGCGCCCTCACCTTTGAAGTGTCCATTTACATTGGGTACTTTAATGCAGTCTGTGTCATGTATTTGTTAACCTGCCATCTATGTCACAGACACTCTCGTGTCATTGTTGTCACATACACACATGCCCTTTGGTTGTCAACTGCTTTTCCAGTCGGTGTGTTGCTTCATTGAGATCCTGAATGAACAGCCAGCTATCTGCAGAATTGTTTGCATAGCTATAATTTTCTCTGTGTTTGGTCGGAAATCTTTGTTTTTCTTCTGTAGTGTTTGTCTTATGGAAGGCTGTTGTTATTGTGAGAGGTCTAGTGACAAAGCTAAGCAAGGAGAGTAGTGTACCAACCATAGCTCAGAAAAAAATGGTGGAGCTTATTCACTCAAGAAATGTATTTCGCACTGAGGGCTCTCTTGGACTCGGACTCGATAAACTTTTTATCAACCGCACTCGCTCAGACTCAAACTGGCCAAAGTACCACTCACTCAATCTGAGCCTGAGTGAGCCTGAGCAAGTCGGCCTAAGAGTTGCTGACCTATGGCCTCAACAGAGTGTCGACATGTGCAGGACCCAAGGGAGCGTGCCCATTGGCGCATGCCCACTACAGCCTACAGGCAGACACGCCACGGGCCAATGCTCTGCGACTGGTACGAGCTCTGCAGCTAGAGAAGCCTGTTTTGCTCGAGGGCCCACCAGGAGTTGGCAAAACTAGCCTGGTAGCTGCTCTAGCGAGAGCCACCGGACACCAGCTTACCCGCATCAACCTCTCTGAACAGACGGTATGTGCCCGTGTGTCCTTCCTTCATTTCTTTCGCTGTCTACTGTGAGCTTGAGAAAAAGTAAACAACTGCTTTAGTATGTTCATCGTTTAAACAAAGATATTGTTTGGTGTACATGCTCAAAGTTTATCTTAGAATTTTGCCTCCTTTCATGTTGTTATTCTATGGTTTCTCATAATTACAGTGAAGCCAGTGTCTGTCAAATTATTCTTGGTATCAAACATTTGCAACATCTTGAAAATTCATTGTAGTTGTAGTATGCTGGTAATGTTGCTATTAAACTGCTATTAGTAGTCACTTTTGTTATACTATTGACTCAGTGTCTTCATCAAGAATAAGCACGAGTAATGCCACCCTGTAGAAGTGTTCGTGCTCCGCAACACGCAGGGTGACGAACTTTACGGTGCTCTCTTTGGGCTATCTCTCTAGTGATAAGCACTAAATGTTGCCGATCTCTGAGTATCGTCAAGGGTGTATATAAATAGCTTTCCATTAAGTATGCTGAAACATATACAGTCTGTGGCTGAACCGTTTTGTGCCACCCGCCGTGGAGCGCGAGGTCGTAGGTTCGACTCCCGGTGACAAAACTTTTGTTCTAGTTCTTTCTTTGCCATTTGTTACTGTATATTTTACATCATATTTGTGACAGAAATACGTCGGTGTAACCGTGTTAGACCTCTGGTACTATAAAACACTTTCATGTTAAAATTTATACACTCAATATCAAATGAAAAGGTGCCACTATTGATTTGGTAATAAGTTTATTATTTAGAAACACTGTATGCAGGGATAGAAACACACATTGTATGTGAAATTTATGACATGGTACAAATATTTTTATGAACATTTGTAAAGAGAAACAATGTAAACTTGCTTTCCTTTGGCATACAACATTTGCTTCACAGAGCACATTTTTGTTTTTCATGAAATCTCCAAAAACAGTTGAGTAACACTTTCAGGAAGCAGAGGCGATCATTAAAAAGAAAAATAATCCAGTTAAACCTGCTTATAACGAACCTCCATACAATGAATTCCTCAACTTTACGCACATTTTTTTCTTTTATTCTCCACTGTTACTCCATAGCACACGTGCATGTATTTGTGACCTTTTGATGAAGGCGAAAATGCTGTAGGCTCATGTGCTCAGGATTTGGGTGCACGTTAAAGAACCCCAAATGCTCGAAATTTCCGGAGCCCTCCACTACGACGTTTCATAATCGTGTGGTGATTTTGGGACTTTAAACCTCACATATCAATCAATGTATTTGGGACCTCTGTGTAATGAAGTGGCAGCAGGAGATACCCTTGATATAACGAATTTTCTCCACCGAAAGGCTAAACATTTTGCCCTGGATTTTGGCACGAGCATGCATCTGCGGCTGCCCTGCCAACGATAAAGCGTGAAGCTTGAGCAGCGCGCATGACACACTCAAAACCCTGGCGACAAAGAGCGCTTGTTAATGCACGCGAATGTGTGCGAGACGGGCCTGCATCCCTCGAGCTGGCGTTGCCGCCATTCCTGCTGCTGTGGGCACATGTGCAGATATGCCGTTTTTCTTTCTTCAAACTAAGAACAAATAAGAAAGCGACTCTTGCCAATAAAAAAAAAGCAAAAGAAAATCTTGCTCTGTGTCATTACATTCGCATTTGCGTCGCATATGTAGGGCCGTGCTGCATATGGGGACTGCTTCTACGAATAGTATCCCACGGTGTCTGTGTGATTCGCTCTTTGTTTTCGATGTCGTGCACATGTGCGTGGTTTCGCTTTGCGGTACTCGCATGGAATGACCCCCAACAATGATCAGCTCTGTGTTTTTTATATGCGGACAACCGTGTCGTCACTACTGAGGAGATATCAGCTTAGGCACCGGTGGAAACTGTCTGAGACCACGGTGACAATAGTGGATCTTCGGAGATCAACCTGTCACGCGCGCTTTGTTGTCTTGCACAGCGCTATTAGTTCGCCAGACCATAGCCTTCACGATTAGCGGATTAGCTCTAGCAGCACGACGATGCATTCAATGCAATGCAATGAACGTGTTAGTAACAAATTGTGATCTTACACAAAGGAAGGCTGGTAGCTAACTCTTTTGGATCTGATATTGCATAACTCTACAAAATGCTGGTGTGAGTAATTATGACCTCGCCAGGGACAAGTGCTTTTTTTGCAGTTTCTTCACGTTGACAGCGCATAATGTAAAAGGGTATATGAGCCATGTGTTGATGCTTGTCGAGATAGTGTGCACACCAGTGATTGTAACCGTGACCTTACAATCAAAGTTCACTGTTGCTGCACGAGTGACACCCCCCTTTCCACCTTTCGCGTTTTTTCATGCTTGTTCACGGGTGAAGTGTCTGCTTGCTTGCTCCCTCCAGGCAATAGAGATGAGCTGGCTCGTTCGACCTCCATTTCAGCAGTGCTCGTAGCCTCTGCTCACACACTTTTACTCACAGGCAGGTGCTATCGCATGCTTAGGCGCTTGTTATCAATTTGGATTTTGTACGGAACATGGCTGCGATGGTAAAACGCTTCAAGAGTGTCCATATGATTGGTATTACAATAGTAACGCAGTTTTTCACCACTAGACAAGTGTTTTGTGTGAGCTCTGCATTTCGCTTTCCTTTTGTTTAATTTGTGCATTTCTTTTGCAAATTTTTCTACTGGAACTGCGTATAATGAAAAGCTGCTTGTAAAAAACTTTTTTGGGATTTTCGTTATATTCAGGTTTAACTGTACCATCTGAACTGACTATAACAAAATATCTCGAGCTCTCTCTATACCTTCCTCATACTCCACATGCACAGAAACACAACGGCAATAAAGTTCAACATCTCGTTTTCACACAGTACTATACCGTACACAACAATCATATTGGGTGGGATTCTCAATGTGCCTGTGATCTCAACTCCGACAGTTGTCTGTTTCACTAGACAATTCGTTGGGTCAACACTCATAGCTTGAAAAGCACTGAATTATTGACAGCTTTTTCCTCAGTACAGCACTTGTTAGGTGCATGATGTGGGAGTATGTGTAACATGCATCCTCACAATAGCTTGCTTCAGTATGGCAAGACCACCTGTGGCACATTTTTCTGTAGACATTGTTGGCTAACTTATCAACAAGCGTGTCAGTGTCCCTGATGCTTTATGCGGTTGGCAATGGCTGTACAAAGCTTTAGTTGCAACAACGTGCTGTTATTCACTTGCTCTCGGTTAAAGTGATAGTGGCACTGTATGCAGATCTCTTGGAAGAGGGAATTTCGTTACGCATGCAAGTTTGTCATCAGATTCTAATGAGGCGTACATTTGATACTTGGGACAGATCATAGAACTCATGCGTGAGGTTCATTTTCTCCAAAATGCAGGACATTTCTGACTTGTTTGGTGCTGACCTCCCTGTGGAAAACCAAACAGTGGGGCAATTTGCTTGGAGAGATGGACCACTGCTGCGAGCTCTTCGAGAGGGTCACTGGGTCCTCCTAGATGAAGTGAGCTGCCCATCCTTCAGAATACAAAAACTTTTGTGCTTATAGGATACACGTTTGAACATTTCAAAAAGAAAACAAAATAGCTTGGTTTCTGTAACAGTTCTGTGTCAAAAAATATTTGCCAAACAGTGCACACAATTAAGGTATTTTGTTCTATTGTAGGAAGATAAAAAAACAGTAACTGAGCCTTATATAGACCAATACTTCCCTACAATAAGTATCACCTACTTGCATCACCTGTTCTTTCTTTGACTGGTTTATGCATTAATGAACTAGGAGCGTATGGAATCTTTTTGTGCTTGTATATACTATTACCTGTCTGTAAACACACTGCTACTTCTATCAGCTTAGCACGAAACACAATGAAACTTGTTGAGCATGACACATTTAATGAAATATTTGTGGCGCAGAGTGAAATAACTAGAAAGAAAAAAAAAGTAGATAACGGGATAGAATGCCACGACATACCATCTCAATCGAGTTCGTGTTTCTCTTCATATCAAGTGGGGGCTATTTCATAGTGTCATTTGCTCACAGAGGTTTTTCATGTTCAGCAACTGCTGCAGTGCTAGAGCATTGCAACAATAAACGACTATTTGGTGGTGCCGTTCATAGTCTGCAAGAATTCTGTGCTCTGGTAGCTATTCAGCATAGCAAGTCTGGCACTGATGGAGAGACTCGCTTGTTCCCAAGTACAATTAACCATTAGCCTGGTACGGCAATGTGCTGAGCTTTACAAACCAATTCAGACATTTCAGTACAGTAGAACTTTGTTCATACATTCTTGCTAAAAATGATGTAAATACATTATTCTGGAAACATTAAAATACAGACTATATTGAGCAGTTTTCTCTGAAGAGAGCAGCATTGATAGGGATAATAAATTATTTTACTGTTACAGTGTGATTCAGGCTGTTGGTTTTATCGATATCGTCAAGTTCTGTAAATATCAGCTTACTAACTAAATCGTGTTGTAACATGCCTAGTGACATAAGATTTCACTGTGTTACCGTGAGAACTAGCCATGACGAGGCTGGCAACATTGGGAGAAGTAAGTTTGTGTGCCTTTCATTGCTTCGATGTTTAAGGTATGCCGCATCTACAGGCAGATCAAGTAAAAAAAGATATAGCAAAGGGCGTACATTAAAATTGTTATATCCTCACTTGTCCGAACCTTATGTGTTGTCTTCAACATTCAGGTGATTTCTAGATGGTGGCAGTTAGTGGCTAGGAAGACAAGAAGCGCCCCTGAGAATGCCGCTGTGTTTGTGCAACTCTATGCCCCTGTCTATCACTTGAGCTGACAAAATTTTTGTCTGGCGCTTATATAATGTTTTCGGATAAATTGTTTCAATCAGCATAGCTTAGGCATTGTAAACAGGAATATGCCGAGCATATTCCCAACGGACTTGAGAAATTGATGTTTTTTTCTTGCAATTTTCACACATCCAAGGCCCGTGTCCCCCCCCCATAGCCTATTGATGCAATGGCTATTAGCCACTTTCATATCTGCAACCTATGCACACCAAAATCAGTCTCACTGAAAGATATAGAAGAAAATGTTGGTGTGTTTCAGTTATCCGCTATTAAAAGGGTACTGACACAAAATTTCACGGCCTAGATAGTCTGCTGGATCGTTTCCCCTGAACATGCGTCTATCATCTACAAAATATCAAGAGCGAATATAGCTTGGAAGGTATTTTACGTTAATTTTGAAGTTTGCGTATTGACACGGTACTAGCACCCTAAAGAGTGACCTCACGGTGACCTCCCTACTTTCCTCATGTCACTATGCTGCAGTCAATACATGTTTCGATGATGCCATAGCCCCCTCCCCCCTCCTTTTTCTTTTTTTTCGTGTTTTCTCTAGCAGACTACTACTCGGCGGCTGTTCGCGCGTATTTGGCCCCGATGCACACGTCGAAAGTTTTCGGTTTGGTGACACTGCTCTCCTGTTTCCTGTTCAGGACTTCTTGATGAAGACCGTGCAAAAGTACATCACATTTGTGTGTGCTGAAGGGGTCAAACGTTGCACTCGCTAAGTGGTAATAGTTGCACCCGGTGGCTAGTCGTTTTCAGAGCTGTATCCACGAGATTCTACTGTAACTGCCCTCATAAATGTTGAAAGCAAATCTGGGAGAAGTTCAAATTGACTATTTTCCGAATAGATTTCAAACAACAAACAGCATCGTTCACCATTGCTATTAACCAATGCTCATATCTAAGTGTACCCAATATTAGCTAGGCTCACTACACTGCACATTAAAAAGCCCAAATACATACGTATGAATAATTAATTAAGTCTTTAGCATACTTTACAACTTCTCATAACCAATAATTGCATCTGTGCCAGTGACACGGCAAAACAAAGCACCATTTGGCTTGCTCCCTGTAAACATATTCAGACTGAGATGTTATCCAGAACTCAAAGCACAAAGAGTCAGCATACATAAATATTATCAGACGCCACCTATGATGAAATGAAAATGTCTGAAAGGAACTGAATGAGGGGTTCAATACAGATTATGTAGCTATTTTTATGACAGCTTTTGGTTATAGGGCCATGTAACAAAGTGTTATTTTTTCTGTCTTTCTTACTTTCATAACGTTGTTACTTGATGCTGCAACCCAACTTTGTCTTGAAGGAGCATGTTATGAACGGATTCAGTGTTCAGTATTCTTAGGATAAAATTCGTGCATTTTTGCTTCAGTTCTACATTTGCTTCTAAACAGTTGTCAATGTGAACTACTTGAAGATGTTTAGAAAATTGTTCTCAATCGTAGATAGCGAATATTTGATTACAGGACCATATTAAATACTCCTTAATTAATAATTTGAAATTTTCAAATATTTGCTCAACTCTGATTGGAAACTTGGATCATTTTTTAAGCGACCTTTTCTCTGTGACACTTCGTGCATATGCTTCCTTTTTTCGTATTTTGAATTGTTTGAAACTGCACAAAGGCAATGAAACTGCAACTGAAGTTACTGTAATTTGGTAAGGGCATTCTATAGGCAACACAAAACCTTAAACTGTTAGCTTTTTTATATAAAGAGAGAAAATGTGATAAAGTTGGGTAGTTCATCATCATCTTTTTATCACAGTTGTGGCTATTGTGAAGCATGTGCTCTAATTGAAGACATTCGAGAGATGACCAGACTTATGCATCTAGCAAGGCTATGAAGCATCGTCAGAGACTGTTACTTCCCTCACCCCTAAATTACTGTTGGTTTCAGTTGAACCTGGCCTCTCAAAGCGTCCTCGAGGGACTCAACGCATGCCTTGACCACCGGGGCGAAGTTTTTGTGCCTGAGCTAAACCGCACTTTCACTGTGGGTCATTCACGGTTCTTCGGCTGCCAAAACCCATATAGACAGGGTGGAGCACGGCGTGGCTTGCCTCGCTCCTTTCTCAATCGCTTTGTTCAGTTGAGCCTAGAACCCTTGAGCAGAGGTGATCTCCAGACCCTTGTGCGGTATTTGCACCCCGCACTGCCTGAAGTTACCCTGAACAACATGGTTCTATTCAATGAGAAGGTGAGTGTGCTTTTAAGGGCAAGGTTTGAGAAGCATGACATCCACTACTGGAATGACACTAACATGATCACATCTGCATAATATACATGCAAAGCCTTAATGAAGTGTTAACAAATATTCCATGTAGATGCTTGCTTACAGCAAGAGCTGGGCGGAGAGCATTGGTTTATTGTATCTGCTTGATTCGTTGCAGTAACCACTTTTCAATTTTTGTTGTCACATGAAAGCTTTATCTAAATTTTGGTTGAAATCAATTTTCATCTGCTCTGTCTTTTTCGTCCCCAGTTTGTGCTGTAGCTCTCATCATGACCAAACAACTAGCTCAAGCTGCCACTCTTCTATGAAATCAGTTTTGTTCGTAGCAAATATATGCTACAGTCGAATCTCGATAATTTTAACTCGAAGGGGCCCAAAAATTTGTTCGAATTCAAAGAAGTTCGAATTAATGAAAGCTCAATAAACGGAGGGCTCTCCATGCAGTGGCGCATGTGCATTGAGCTAATACTTGAGGGGGAAGTTTGAGAAGACTTACATTTATTCACAAATCACAGGACATCTGTTATTAATTGAAGTAATCGGTGATGCGCGTCTGCACATGTTTGCCTTGCAGCGAGTCAATCAATTTCACATGCAGCTTGCAAAGCATTTCTATTTTGGCTTTAGCATTCTCCTGGCAAGAGAAGTTGCGCACGGAAATGTCCAGCGCCAACACTTCCTAAAGACGACGACAACAACGACTGCTACGCAGCCGCAGCATGGCCAGCACGTGACGAGAAAGGAGGAGCGTCTCCACGCATAGAGAAGCAGATCGGCATTTGAGAGAAAACCAACACTCCACGGCACCTTTTTTTTTTTTGTGCTCTTTGCGCACGTCGTTGAAAGGATGAAAAGAGAAGGGTTACGTGGCAGGGACGGGAAAGGCAGAAGCGTGACATGGGCGCCCATTGGAATGCACATAGCTTTGACAGGACCTCATCGTGAGTTTGAATTAACCGGATTTTCGAATCAAGTGTGTTTGTATAAATTAGATCCGACTGTAGTTTAGTGTAGTAAATATAAAGTGGAAAACTGTGAGCAATCCAGCAATGTAGAAAAGCCCTTATTGTGTTTTTCCAACCTTTGGTTGGTACTTAAGGGGGGGCGCGGCAAGTAAAGTGCCGATTTTGGTCAAAATATGCGATTTTCTGATTTATTTTTTTTCGTAATCTTCAGACCTTCAACTTCCTTGTTCTAAAATATTACAGCGAAACGTGCGCTACAAATCCCGCAAATAGTGTTTTTGCCGAGGCTAGTCGCCGAAAAGTGCGAAAAAAAAGCCCCTGAAACGGTGTTATTCACGCCGCACAAACGCGCCAAGTTGTTGACCGTGGGCCGCCATTTTGGTAGCTTTGGAAAGAGGAGAAAGCCGGCTTCCCGATGGTCGCGGTCTCGTATTTCGCCGAGTGAAAATAAAAGCGCGAGGAGCAAGTAAAAAAACGAAAACGAAGAACGGCAATTGGCTGCGCGGGTCACGTGGTAGCAGGCGCGACCTCTTACTGGTCAAAGCTGCGCCGCGCACCTTGGCAACCTTCGAAGCGCGAGCGCATCTGCGGCCGCCGTGTCGAGAATCATCCGGCGTGCGCTTCGTTTTTTGCCAGTTTGCTGTTTTTGTGATAGTTCGCGTGCTTTTTTACCAAGCTTTGTTTACATCGGTGGTCTCTTCTGAGTGCTTGCTCATACTGCGGTGCTATGTTGCCGCAAAAAAAGTTCCGGAGCGTCCACAAGTACGGCAAGCGTCGGAAAGCTTGGAACAAAGGGCAGACGACTGCGGCTGCCGTCCCAGTCGCAGTTCCGGACGGAGCATGCTCTTCAAGCGTCACGGAGCCTCTACTCAGACCCTTCGCTGATTGTTGTGAGGCCGAGAGTGTGGAAGGTGCCACATCGTCGTATGTCAGACCGCCGGATGCCGTCGACCGTGATGGACGCTCTCGCGAACCCGATTGCGGTGGCACCGCGTCGGCAGCCGTTGCAACTCCGGGCGTGCGCGCGTCGAACATTCTATCGCGAGTTTCGGCCCTGATTCCGAGCAGTGAAGAAATCGCGCAGCGGGCGCAGACAAGGCGGGATGTTTTGGATGCCGTAGCATCGAAGTCCGCTTCAAAGCGGAAGCTCGAGCTTCTGAACGAAGGCTGCGACGAAAATGACGGCGGTAAGGACTCCACATTCTTCATTGTAAATAAGAAGATGCTGAACGGTCTGCTTTCGTCAGTAAAGTGCAACAAGTGCGACGAAGGGTCGATACGCCTCGAGACTACGCACTGCCTTGGACTCGCGGCGAGGATGGAACTTTTTTGTGACAATTGTGGCAGAGTGAACAGTGCGTGGTCGTCCCCGAGGTGCTCCGGGCAACAAAAAACGAACCCCTTTGAGGTAAACGTGCGTGCTTTGAGGGCTGTGCAGTCAGTTGGCAGAAAACAATCTGCCATAAATGACATTTTTTCTGCGATGGACATTTCGCATCGAGCACTGCACCACAAGTCCTACCAGAGACTGCAAAGGAAGTACAGCCACCCTGCCACCACATCAGCTGCCACCCGCATTGAAGCAGAAAGTGCACAGAAGGTGCATGACATTTACAAGGACCTAGGAGGAGTGCCAGGCAACATTGACGTCATTTACGACGGCACGTGGATGACGAGGGGGCACAGAAGTCATATTGGCGTGGGCTGTGTAATCGAGCTGTACACAGGCTTGGTCTTGGACCACTGTGTCCTGTCCAACTACTGCCAAGGCTGTGCTGTTGGCCCCAAGCCTGGTGACGACAACTATGAGGAGTGGCTTGAGAAACACAAGCCACAGTGCCAAAAGAACACCGATGCTAATGCAGGCCAAATGGAAGTAGAAGCAGCTAGGATCATGTTTGAAAGATCGTTTACCAAGTACAAGCTTCGATACATCAATGTGCTCTGCGACGGTGACAGCCGTACGTACCTTGCCCTCACGCAAGACAAGGTGTATGGCTACATGGTGATTAAGAAACAGGAGTGTGTGAACCATGTGAAAAAAAGAATGGGCACTTCCTTGCGCAACCTTCTTGATGAGCACAAATCCAAAGGCCGAGGACTGAGCATGGGTGGCAAAGGCCGGCTGACGCAGGGCCTGATAAAGAAGTTGACGAATTATTATGGCTGGGCCATTAAGAGCCACCCCAACGATGTTCCTGGCATGGAGAGGGCCATCATGGCCACTTATTACCATGTAACATCCACAGACCAGGATCCACACCACAACCTGTGCCCAAGTGGGACTGACTCCTGGTGCCCGCACAATCAGGCATTGGCCAAGGGAGAGCCGCTGCCGCCTCACAAACATAAACTGCCCCCTCACGTGCGAGTGGCACTGCTGCCAATCTACAAGCGCCTCTCGAACAAAGAGCTCCTTGAAAGGTGTGCGCAGGGAAAAACCCAGAACGCTGTGGAGAGTATGAACAGCCTCATTTGGTCACTCCAGTCCAAGAGCCAGTTCGCCTCCCTTCGAAGTGTGGAAAGTGCAGTTGCAGATGCAGTCTGCCGTTTCAATGGTGGCTGCAAGAGTGCGCTGCAAGAGATCACTGCTCAACTGGGCTTCAATCCAGGAGACTGCTCTTTGCGGCGAGCAGCCGAAAAGGATGCCAAAAGGGTAAAGAGGGCTCAAAAGGCGCATTGTTCCACGACAAAGAAGCGCAAAACTGGGTTGCGCTCTACAGAGGCCAAGGCCACAGCATCTCAGGATTACTGCCCAGGAGGATTCTGAGTGTTTTAGGCATGTTGTGAACTTCCAAACAAGAGTGAACTTTCAAAGTCAGTTTTCTCAACTCTTGATTTTCGCCTATGTGCCTTCGCTAGAACATCTGTCATTTTCTAACAAAGACTGATAGAGTCGTTCCGTTTTTTGCACTAGGCTCAGGAGGCCTTTAGCAGTGCAATAAAGCTTTATCTCTTTTCTTACTCATCATTTAAAATTTTTAGAACACATTTTATAATTACTGCGATGTGTGCGCAAAACAACATCCATGTTTTGGAAATTTTATTTATGGTTACAAGAACTAGAAAAATCAACTAATAGCTTCTTTGCACAAGTTGATGCTTTGGGAACATAATAATATGAAAAAATAATTTCATTTAGCAATAATTATCTCTTTAAGTGTGAAGAGCATTATTTAGTATAATTATGCTTGTAACTCAAAAAGTACAAGAGGTATTTGAAAACGGTTTTCATATTTGGAATCCTCACAATCATCCACATACACACACCAAATTTCATCACAAACAGTACATTAATAAAAAAATTAGTTTTACTTGCCACGTCCCCCCTTAAAGCAATAGCCATCTTAATGCCTAGTAACTAGTGTGTGCAGGATTTATTGCAAAACCTGCACTCGCAATTACTCAGTGAAAATAAAACTGTGCAGTAGAAAAACACGTTGACCTTGCAATAGTTGCTTGCCTCTATGGTGCAGTGATGCCTTCACAGCATATATGTGTGCTAATGAGAGTGTACTCGGCACTGCATTTTTTTTCTTTACTAGTTGGTTGATGAAGTGCAAAACCAAAGGCTTTGGGCTGTCTCGGGAAGTCCGTGGGAGTTCAACCTGCGTGACATCACCCGATGGGCTTGCCTTATGGAACGAGGTCCGTCGGACCCTGGCGGTCACGTTGGACTTGTCTACGCAGCTCGAATGCGCACCCCTGAGGATCGCAGTAGGGTCAGTGGCTACATTCACAAGGCTTTATGTTCAGATTATTGAAGTAATGAATTCATTCAATTACTACAGACATTGTTAATGAGAACTTTTCTTCATACATAAATTGTTGGTGTTTGATCAGCGTTTTTTGCTAACTTCTCCTGCTGGTGCAAAGGTGCACCAACAAATGCACTTTTCATATGAAGACTGAGCTGAGGTCGATGTTTTATTTATTCTCATAGTATTTGCCTTATAGTGTTGCTATATGACCATTAAATATTTGAGAAAACAGCTTGATACTATTCGTTAAGGGTTCATTCCACACTAGCTGAGTTAAATCTTCACACTGTAGAGACATTCGTTTTTGCGACGGTTAACTGAAGAAAGATTGCACTGTGCATTTGCTGATGAATTGTTTGCGTAATTCCACAGCGCTTTCACCGCTCCAACAGTAGACACACCTGCATGGACTATAATCATTTTGGACACCTTGCAGTGTGTAATGCAATAGTTTCAGATTTAGCGTGCACGACCCCATGCCAATGGTCACCAAGTTGAGCAGGAATATCAATATATGTTTGTTCTCAGCATAGTTCTTGGCCATGTCACCGGTACATCTTTGAAACTGAAAAGTGTGGGATATGTAATTTTTGCAAGCTGCTGCAATTCTCGTGGAATTATAGTTAGATGTTACTTTTTTCACACTCTATTAGGTTATTTGTAATGTCTAACTTTTTACACACAATGAAAACCTTTCACTTAGCAATTGAGCAAGCATGATTTTCAAGTGGCTCATGTAATTACATCAATGAACACTTGTTGCTGGGCAGACAATACATCAGAGTTGTGGAATACATGCTTGACCCAGTACATGCCTGAGAATGTCACTAAACCCACCTGCAGCACTGCTGTGGCTAAGCATGAGAGATCACAAAAAGCTTCCGTCCTCTTCTTCCTCGCACGTCCTACCCTGTTCCTGTCTGAGCAGGTGTTTGGCATTTACAAAGAAGTGTTTGGTGAGGCATCTCTAGAACGGCCACCTGAGGTGCACATGACTCCGAAGTGGCTGAGCGTCGGCAGCGCCATTTTGCCCCGACGCAGTCCGACGCAGGATCCCTCATTGAGCTGCAGAGCCCTCGAAGACCTGCGACTTCTTCACATTCAGGCACCTGCCATGGAGGTGAGTTAGCGGGAGATTGAGTGGCTTCATCCGTTAAGTGTCCTGCTTTGCTTTGTATAACTCAGGGCCTGGCGAAGTGCCTGGAAAATGGCCTCGCTGCATTGCTTGTAAGTCCGTCAGGAAGTGGGAAGACGACACTTGTGCGAAGCATGGCCAGGCTTACTGGTCATCCTCTGGCTGTCTTGCCCATCGGCACGTCCACCGATGCACTTGAACTGCTTGGCAGCTTCGAGCAGGTGAGTTCCTGAAATCCACAAGCGCCGCCTTTTCCTCTAAAAGATTGTCACGTAGCGTTTTAGCAGGTACGCCTGTAGGCCATCACAGTGTGGTCTCCCTGCAAAGGTAGAGAGGGGAAAAAAAAAAAAAAACGTTTTGTCAATCTTTTTTACTCATTCGAAACGTATGTGTCAAGTAGCATGAATATCCTGTAACTTATCTCGGTTTTTAACATTGCCATGTGAACCAGAATAAATGCCAAAACACTAGCTTTTGAGCATTATTGGCTTTAGCCAACACTAAGTTGTAATGCTGTACTGTAAATGTGGCTATTGTGCACACCTGCATAGAAGACAGTTCAACTGGTCAAGCTTCATGCATCTTATCTTAAACTTTGAATCTATTAAAGTACTGCTTTTTGCTTTTTTTATTCAAACTCCCTGTCATATGGTGCTCCAAAAACCTCATTGGCAACACACAGGATTGTGTTTTTTGTACATGCACAAAGTTGTGTGCTTGCGTCGTAGAAACATGCATTAGTGTTTTCTTTTTGAAACATGTCAGTGGGTTTAAAACCAACAGTTTAGTGTACATCAGATGCGGCATTGCTTTTTTTTTTATGCAAACTAAGGTAATGCCTGTGTCATGCTGCCTTTTGAACAAGGGGAACATTGTGCATCTACTCATCGGCAACGGTGGGCTGCAGCTGCAGCCATATCACAGCTGCATTTTATTTCAGGGCAAAAAATAGGTAGTACAATCGAGCCCACTTTAACGAACCTGAGCTTAACGCGGCATCCGTTCGCTGTATCCCGAAGTTATAGTAAATGAAATAGTAAATGAAACACAGCTTTTAAAGAAAGTTGCGACTGAAAATACAATCTTTTTTTGCCCTAAAAAGTCCTTGATGCACGTGTTTCGAAGAGCAGAAGCGATAAAGGGCGGTCTCGAGTTCACTTAAAACGGCAGGGTGCTCGTTCGCCGAGGCCCGTGGCATGTGTTTCAAAGAGCAGAAGCGATAAGGGCGGTATTGAGTTCATTTAAAACGGCAGGGTGCTCGTTTGTCGAGGCCCGTGGCATAAGCTGCATGATGCACTGGCTCCAAAGTTTTGTCGTTCTCGCAATCCGATTCCTGCAAATCGCTCTCGCCACGTACTTCATTAACAACGCGCCAGTCCGTGCACGCTTCTGCAGTGTCAGCATCATCATCGGCCGCAACTAAACCATCGCAAAAGATGTCCCACCCGCTCTCCCAGGTCGGAGTCGATGACGCGCTGCCACAAATGGCCGCCACAGTGGTCCTGTTCGGAAGCTTCAGGCTCGGCATCGGGCCCAACGTCAACAAAGTCGTTCTTGCGAAAACAGTTTCGCACGCATGTAGCCGTCACCCCCGCCCACGAAATATTAGACAGTTATAGTTTACGGTTAACGTGATAGCAGAGGTTAAGGGAATGACGTTACTGTGCAGCAAACGTTCGTCGTTGACAGCGTCTTATAGTTTAGCGGGATAACGTTCATGTGGTTTACGTGCCCCAGCTGGGACAGTGGTGCCATCTATCGGATAGTTAGTAAGTTAAAGACAGTGAAAAGGAAAAGAAAACGAGGATGTTTGCCTATGCCACCGCGCAAAGCATTGTTACAAGTTTATTTTACTAATAATAAAAGCAAATAAATATGAACCACACACCAAACGCGAAAAAAATTATGTTGCCGATTTGCTTACACCGATCTTGTAGTGAGCTCTAGACGCGTACGAAATGGGGAGCTATCTCAAAAGTTGCGCTGACTTACCCGCAATAGTCGATCATCGAAGCTAACTGAAGGCAAGTGAAGCCACTTTAAAAAGCCGTTTGCTGCGAAGAAAGTGAATCTTTCTACAACTACGCCGAAATCACTTCGAAGCGGGCGTCCGAGAACGCCACTATGTTTACGTACACTTACGCTAACACGGTAACCTTAAATCTGAAAAATACCACACGTACGGTAAGCAGTACGGGTAACATATGTATCTGCGCATGCGCACTGCGATTCCAGTACGTATGACGGTACGCCTGGTATCCCGGTAAGCCCGGTATACTATAAAACCGTCTATTCACCATCTCCACAGGTGAATACAGGGACGCCTGAAGCGGCAAGTTTGCTGCCAGGTGGTCAACAGCTACGAGCAAGCACTCCACAACGCGGCACCTAACGCGTGGATTACCCTCAAAGCCAAGCGGTCACACTTTCGGCGTTTTGTTGAGCGGCAGGAAAAAGCGTGCAAGTCCTCCCATCTGCCATCCTGACCACACACGCACACCAAGAGCGAGCAGGACGCACACGCGAAACACATGCCAGAACGCGTGGAACAGCCCTGGGCCCCTTTCTAGTCAGAAAACGAAGCTAATTTGAGCCTACGTGGCTGGCGTTGCGGAGCGGTGGAGACGGGCAAAGGGGTTGTGATCAAGAGAGGAGAGCAGATTTGCGAAAGAACGGCAAGGAGTTGCAATAAAGTGGAGGATGCCGCGGCAGAGCGACCTTGAAAACCAAAACACACAAGAAGGAGGCAGGTTGGGTAGCTTGCTTGAAAGGTCCACGAAATGTGCTACTTGCACGTAGAAAAACTTGAAACAGTGCCTGCACGCACAGGCGTCAAAGCGCGGCGCTGTTCAAAGAATCGGCGGCCGTGGTCAAAAAATTGTTTTGTTGCGCCAATGGGTTTGCCTCACCAACTTCGATATTTCGCGATTCGTTTCGCGCAAATTAACAGCCGTTATAGCGCTTCCGCGTGCGTGCCGAGGGCATGCTCATGCTGAGTTGAGTGCGAAGTGAGCGAGAACAAGTCCTAATCACGAAATGAATCGCAAATGTATCAGAGTCGGTGGGGTAGCGTACGCGCGTGCACTAGACGCAGACGATTGGATGCAGTCGGTGGCCGACAATGTTGGCAAATGGTCTGGTCACTCCAGGCGGGTGACGCCAACGGCAGTACCAGTGATCAAAAACCGGGTAGATGGCCGACCGATCTTCGAAAGATCGGTGGCAGTGTGAAAACACGGGCCTCGTCTGGCGATGTGGGGTGTTCAGAGTACCGGGGGGGACAAAGGACGGAGGGGTGCATAACAAAAAGCGGTCGGGAAGAGCGGCAACTACTACGGAGCAGAGGCAGGGTCAGCGTTTAACAATAAAAATGCATGGGCACCTATGCCTGATCGGTGGTCGAAAGTGGTTTTCCGGTAAGTTTTGGGCGCCGACTCCGTTTGCTGTAACTGATCGGCGGGGCTCGGAGACGTTCGTTGTAAGTGCGATTTTGTGCCATTGAACCAATGTATGTTTTCATAGTCACGCGGATATTGTTCGTTTTAAGCGAAAGTTCGTTTTAAATGGGGCCATTATATGTAGGCTTGACTGTTTAAACTCACCAGAAAGTGAGTTTCTTTTTAAGACTCAAAAAAAAGACTCACCACAAGGACCCCGGCAGACGGCCCGCGGTGCTGTGCACCGGGGTCGCCCTGCGAGAGACAACCGTTCTCGTCAAACACTGCCAGACGAAGAGACTCGCTCAACTCTCTCTGCCGCCACCAAGGCTTGCCTGCCGCCAGGTGTCATTGCCGGCGTATTTTTCTGCTCTAACAACCATGATGATGATGATAGTGGTGGTCAACTCGCGAACACAATGTCACCTATTGCGCGATAGTTGCGACCCCTAAATGCGGCTTTTGCGCGAGACATGTGCGCCATGAGGCGCAAACAACTTCACAGAGGGGTGTCATCACTTCCACACAGGTTGTTGCGTAAGTGCGTCGTTTTCCCGTGTGGATGTTCCCAAAAGACGACACGTTTCTCACGAATTAAGCGCATAAACAACAGATTTTGAGAATGAAAGCAGCACTGAGCCTGGAGAAGATGTTAACCCATCACATTTCAGCACCGATGATGAGGACGCATCAAGTCAAGCTGCCACATCGAGCGACTGAGTGTCAGCTGTATGTGTGGTGCACATTTTGTTGTCTAATTACTAGTTACAGGTGGCAGAGAGGGCTTCAACTTCCTACGGACATGATTCCTTGCCGGCATCTATCAAGCGTGTGCAGTTTCTTTCGAGACCTGATGTGTCAAATATGGCAATATCTTTTGATGATATGTCCAACTATAAAAAAAATATGTCGTGGGGTGATTGCCAGACCACATTCAACGACATTACACAACATTACAGACTAAACAGATGCAAATACCCACCACCATACAACAAATTGGACAAAAAACAGGCCGTAGCTCTGAGGTTATTGCAAACAGATACGTACCCCAGCCCGTGATCCTACGCCTGTGTTATCCTCACCTATACCCGACGGACGCGTGTAAAACGTGCGGGGAAAGGGCCACACTGCAGCGCATGCTTTGGGAGTGTGCTGAAAAAGTTAAGGTCACTGCCGCCACTCCCTTCGCGACGCATGTTAGGCATGGACAAAATCCGAGGCCAATTGCTGCCGCCACCACCGCGCGTGGGCAGGGGCCAGCCTCCACCGCGGCCACCGTTACCGATCCGTGGCGTCAGCTGTGCTGCCGCTGGGAGGCAACACTCAAAAGCGACGAGCTGGCCGACTAGCTTTGGGCCGTCAGGCAAGCTGAAGATGCCGCCCGGGTACAAAAGGACTGAGGCACCGTCATCATAATCAACGGAGAGTGGGAAGGGACAGGGGTTAATCCCCTCTTCCCCCACCTTGCCCAATATAACTGCCGGACTTTAAATAAAGTATATTCATTAATTCATTCGGGGATCTTGTGTTTGCTGACTGTTCTTAGCAGGCAAACTAAAAAGAACATTGTGTCTTGAAGGGTAGCTATTTTCACATACTTGTTCAGGGTGGCCATTTGAAATCACCACTTCACTTTTTTGCTACTACGCCTATTCAAATCATTCAATTTGAACGATCAATTTCAAGTTTACATTTTCGCACACTCGCAGAGTTTGTGGGCACCTAACGCCATCTAGGTAAGAAAGTAGAAAACACACAACGAGATCTGCTATGTTTTGGTTGTT